GGGGAAACCCCATGGGGAAACGCAAACCAATGGGAAGTCCCCGGAAATGATACAGTGACAGTAAAAATCGCTTCACTGATCAGTGACACTGCGTTGACAGGGCAGTTAAGGGGTTAAATGGGGGGGGTGTGGGGGGGGAAGGGAGGAAATTAAGGGGGGGTTTTAATTAAATGGCTTTTATTGGTTGTTACTGGGGGGGCTAACTGGCGCTTTCTGGGCAGGCGGCGGCTGAGACACTCTATTGGAAGTCGCTGATCCATATAAAATCGCTTCACTGATCAGGTACACTGGTGACAGGGCAGTGAAGGGTTAACTGGGGGGGAGCAATCAGGGGGTTAAATGTTGTCCTAGAGTGTGTTCTAACTGTTAGTGTAGTGTTTTACTCACGTTTAAATGTCTCTTCTTCTCTGTCTGGAACGGAATGTGTCCAGGCAGAGAAGAATGACATCATATCCTGCCCTGTGTAAATATCAACACAGGGGACAGGATAGGACAGGGAACCGATCATTCCGATTTCAGCCAGAAATCACTGGCTGAAATCTAATGATTGATCCCTCCTGGATCGAATCGGATCACCCGCGGGTCGGCGGGCGCGCGCAGCGCGGCCGCCCCCTGCCCGCGAAAGTGTCGGGAGTTGAGCGCAGGAACCCGTTTTTAAACGTGGTTTTGCGCTCCACTGCCGCCCTGCACACGTTATAAACACAGTGGCCAGGGCGGCAAGCGGTTAATAAATAAATAACATTGCATAGTAAAAGCAGCACACTTATTACACACATTACACTTGTTAGGCACACAGTTAACCCTTGGATTGACTGTAGATGTTAATGCAGGGCTTGAAAAAGCTGCTCACCCGCTCACCAAATGCGAGGAGAAATTCCTCTGTGGCGAGCACAGATGAAGCATGGAGCGACTGCACCTGCACTCCAAGCCTCATTGTGAAGCAGAGTTCCGGTTTACAAGTTCCGGTTTCCGGCTTCTGCGGCACCGCCGCTGAGGAGAGGTCCGCTTTCCTTCCGCTGAGAGTAGACACCCACCTCCACCGCCGTGGGGGGACTCGGAGGGACTAGGAGTAAGTACTGTATACAACATGTCATATCACTATAATGGAGTACAGGGGAGCTGGGATATACATTACTCAGTAATGTATATCCCAGCTACCCTGTACTCCATTATAGGGATATGACATGTAGACAGTAATGTATATCCCAGCTCCCCTGTACTCCATTATAGTGATATGACATGTATACAGTAATGTATAAATCCCAGCTCCCCTATACTCCATTATAGTGATATGACATGTATACAGTAATGTATATCCCAGCTCCTCTGTACTCCATTATAGTGATATGACATGTATACAGTAATGTATATCCCAGCTCCTCTGTACTCCATTATAGTGATGACATGTATACAGTATGTACATCCCAGCTCCCCTGTACAACCATTATAGTGATATGACATGTATGTATGTATGCATGTGGTGGCACTGATGGGGCTACACTGATCATCAGGGCACTGATCATCAGTGTAGATGTCCCCTCTGAGGAATGCCGATGACAGGCCCTCCTCTTCTCACAAGCTGCCAGTGTGACAGCTCGTGAGGAGAGAAATGCCGATAACCGGCAGTTCCTTATTTACATGCGATCAACTGTGATTGGACGCAGCTGATAACGACATAGCCAAAGTCAATGGCTCTTTCCACTAATCGGTGATATGCTGTGTCCCAGGGACACAGCGCACCACCGATCACCGCCGATCGGAGGAGTGCACACGCGGTTAGAGTTGAAGGATATCATATGACGTCCTCCCAGAACGAGAGAACCACCTTGCGCCCGTCATTTCCTTATATGGCGGGCGGGAGGCGATTAAGTGTAGCTCTGTCTATGATTCATTTCGAGTTCAGAGACTTAAGAATGCCATTATAACCTTGGTCATGTTGACAAGCTTCAGCAGCTTTTTTTCTGCCTTCCAAAAATACTTTTGAGTGCAACATGGTGTGGCTCAACAAACCTCTCTTTAGACAACTTGGCTATAAGAATTTAATTGGTTCAAAGTGATAGTGAACAGGGCTGTCTCAAGCCAGTCCTGACTGTACTCAAACAGCCAACTTCAATTATTCTTTTAATTAGATCGATTAAGGGACAATTATTTTTTAGCACCCATGGCTGCACATTTCATTATCTTTTGCACTAAGGAAATTTCAAAAACAACACATTTATTGGTAGAACTGAAAAAGAAACATACCAGACCCAACTCTGTCAAAAAGCACAAAACACAGAAGAAGAATGGAAGGAAGTGGTGGGTAAGCATGAGAGTATTAACACTTAATTCAAATGAATCTACTTTAGACAGATAAACACTTAAGACTGTAACAAACAAAACTGGAAAAAAAAAAAAGTAGCAGAGCTGTCTATAGTCATTTGTTAGGGCAAGGGATCTTAAAGACATTTCCAGGAAAGGGAAAAATGCTCCCATGCAGTGGGGCTACCCCTGCACTGCAAGTGCTAAATGCTTGTTTAGGTCTAGGGGCCACAAAGACAACTTTTATTTACCCAATTCTCCACTGCCCCTTCAACTGGAGACCTGGAGTATTCCTCTGCATCCTCACATATAGGGCAGTGCTATGGGATATGCATTGTACTTGATTACATAAAGGGCCTGCCTAACTGCCTGAGCATAGGGAAAAGCGGGCTGGGAGGACCAGTCTTAAAGCCTAGAGGGAGCAGAGGATCGGGTAAGTAAAAGTGCTTTTTGCAGCCCACTAGACATAAATGAGCATTTCATCTTTGTCCAGTGTTCTTTGCTTCCATGTACTGTATGCAAATTTTTACTTTTTTTTTTTTTTTTTATTTCTTGAAAGAATTTTTCCAGCACAAAAAAGATATCAAAGAGATAAGAGATTTAAGAAAGCAGGGGGCGGGGAGCTGAAGTTACACTGTGCAGAGCTCAGTGGAGGAGAGCTGATTGGAGGGAAGAGGCACATTCCCCTTAACACAGCACACAGGAAAAGACTAGAGGCTATGAATCACAAGCTGTGAGCTGAAGGTTGCTCCCGTCACCTTTTTTTTTACCTCTTGAAGTCAGGAAAACCTGTCAGAAATGACTCATGCAGATAGCTAGGAACAAGGCAGCAAACAGAACTGACACTTAGTGCTCTTAATGGAGACAAGTACACTCTATAGTGGGATATCCATTGTTTATATTACATGTCTGAGGTTTACAACCACTTTAAACCTTACAAAACAGTATATCAAAGAAAGAAATGTGGAGATGACCACTTGTGTAGTAAATACATTCCCAAAGTTTCCTTCCCCTTTGCCCCTAACTTCCTTCAGTTGGTCTAGACCACTCGCCCCTCCATCCCACAATCAGTATGCTTACATGAATCTTGCTGGGAGCTCTACCTGCGCAATTAGGCCTCAGAAACTACTATAGAAGCCTATGAGGTTGAAATGTGCAGGTACGAATGTTGGATCAAAAAGCAGATGAAGTAATGTAAAATATGACCACAAACTATGGAATGAGATCTAGGTAAGTATAGTGATTTGGCGAACGTGGGGAGGGTGATCTAGACTTATGTAAAATCAGTTGCTAAAAGTGCTTAAAAACTGAGGGTTTAAAATCACTTTAAATGTAAATAAATATTCAGAATGTTAAATATGCAATTTTTGATAAACACCTTATGAGGTAAAATAGTATGTATTTGTATACTCTATTTTCAACCCCTTTTCAGGATTATTTTACCGAAGAAAAAAAACTAGAAAAGATGGACTGAAAATGGCCTAAAATGCAGACTGCATTTCTTATCTACTGTATTTTCCGGCGTATAAGGCGACTGGGTGTATAGGACGACCCCCTAATTTTCCAGTTAAAACATAGGTTTTGGGCTATACTCGTCGTATAAGACTACCCCCCTTCTGAGGCAACACCATTTAAACCCCTAGCCTACAGGGCACTTATACCCACTTCCCCCCAGGCCAATTTCCAGCTTTCAGCGCTGTCACACTTTGAATGACAATTCAATTCAACACTGTACCCATATGAAATAGGTGGCACTGATGGGCACTGATGAGGAGGCACTGGTAGGTGGCACTGATGGGCATTGACAGGCATCACTGATGGGCACTGAAAGGCAGCACTGATACATGGCACTCATAGGCAGCACTGAGTGGCACTGTTAGGCGGCACTGACTGGCACTGTTAGGCGGCACTGACTGGCAGCACTGATGGGCATTGACAGGCAACGCTGATACATGGGACTGATAGGCGGCACTGACTGGCACTAATAGGTGGCACTGATTGGCAGCACTGATAGGTGGCACTGACTGGCACTGATGGGTGACACTGAAAGGCAGCTCAGATGGGCACTGATATGTGGCATTGATGTGCACTGGTAGGCACTGATATGTGGCATTGATGTGGCACTGATGGACACTGACAGCTGGCACTGCTGGGGCTACACTGATCATCAGTGGCCCTGATCATCAGTGTACAGTGTACATGTCTCCTCCGCGGAAAGCCGATTACCGGCTCTCCTCTCCTCTCGAGCTGTCAGCGTGACAGCTTGAGAGGAGAGAAATGCCAATAACCAGCATTTCCCTATTTACAAGTGATCAGCTCTGATTGGACACAGCTGATCACATGACCGAGCCGACATCTTCGGCTCTTTCCGTGATCGGTGATAGCTGTGTCCGAGGGACACAGCGCATCGCCGCGCATGCACGGAGAATGGGAGGACGTCATATGAGCCAATCACGGCAAGTGATGTATTCTATTAATGAATACAGAGCCTGCTCGGATTGGCTGTGTCAGAGAGGCGGGCTGATGATGTCACAACTTCAGCCAATCCGAGCAGGCTCTATATTCATTAATAGAATACGTCGCTCGCCGTGATTGGCTCAGCGCGGTACACTGTATGTAGCTGAAGCTACCATACAGTATTACCGCACATCCAGCTTTCTATACCCGGTGTATAAGACGACCCCCAATTGTAGGGGTATGTTTTTTAAGTAAAAAAAATCGTCTTATACGCCGGAAAATACGGTACTTCCCACTATTGGACCACAGCAGGATAAAAGCTGTGAAGTTGTATTTTTATTTTTCATGAAAAAAGGTCTAAATTGCATTTTTCATGGGGACAAACAAGACAGACCTTGTGCTTCAATCTCATTCTGCTTTTCACATACAAAACAAGGAATGAAAATGGACAAAAAATAAAAAGATGTCCCTGTTCAAAAAATGTTCATAACATCTTTTTTGAGTCCCGAACCCTTTTAACCACTTCCTGTCTCATTGTTGCCCATCTAGTGCACCTGTTGTTAATTTCATTAACACCAAAGCAGCTGAAACTCATTAACAACTCCCTCTGCTACTTAACTGACCAGATCAATATCCCAGGAGTTTAACCACTTCCTGTCCGGCCCATGTACATAAACGGCCGGACGGGAGCGGGAGCAGTGCTGAAGCGGGTGGCCTTTTATAAATGGCCACCGCATTCACTGCCTGTGTGTGCTCCTTGGGAGTGTGAGGCACCGCTATCCGGTGCCCGCTATGTGTGGAGGACACAGCGGAACACCGATCACTGTACGGGACCTCTGTGTGAGGTCACGATCATGTGATCACCGATTGACCAATCAGTGATCACAGGAATAGTAGTAAACAAGATGTCACTTCCTGACATCATTGCTTACTACTTGTGAAATCTGTGAATGATCACAGAGGTCACATGGAACAAGGCTATTCACAACAGACTTGTACCATGTGACAAGCTGTGACCAATCACAGCTCTCACAGTATTTCTCAATGGCTGCAAGAATGCAGCCAGGGAGAAGGAGAAATGATTACTTTTACAGCCTTTATGGGTGTAAAAGCAATCAGTGTAAAAAAAAAAATCTTCATCACCCCCTATCACACTGTACTGCTAGGGTGACAGTATGTTAAAAAAAGAAAAAAATAATATTAAAAAAAAAATGTAAAAAAACATTTTTGAAAAATTATAATTTTTGGTTATAAACTAATTTGGGTTATTTTTTTTACTAAAAAGTTAGCTGAATACATTTTGGCCAAGATTTATGAAGAAAGATTATTTATTTGCAAAATTTTATAAGAAAAACACTTTTTTTCCAACATGTTTGGACTTTTTCATTTATATAGCAAAAAAATAAATAATTCCAGTGGTGAATAAATACCACCAAAATAACGTTTTATCTGTCTCAAAAAAAATGCTAAAAAACTCATATGCGTACAGTGTTGCATGACCGCGCAACTGTCATTCAAAGTGTGATAGTACTGAAAGCTGAAAATTTGCCTGGACAGGAAGGGGGTGAAAGTGTGTCCGGACTTGAAGTGGTTAAGAATCTGATGAAAGCTACGGACCCCTCCCCAGAAATATTCACATAAACACAACTCTGCATGCATTGAATATGTTTACTTTATTTTATTGAAATTTGATTGCTGCATACATATATGACAAAGTTTGAATAAAAAATACAATCTTGACAAAAAAAAAAAAATGCACTCTTTTTCATGAAAAAAATAAAAGGCAACTCTATAATTCTGCAATCTCTATGTAACTGGGCAATATATTGTCTAAATAATATGATATTTCACTTTTATATCATGTCAGCATGAAAAAAACAGGGTTTGTTGAAGAGCTGAGGCTCTAAATGATGAATAAAACCGATAAACATGTAGCTACAATAGGTTCAAAAGTGAGTTGCAACATCCATGCAGATGAAAGAGTAACAGGTTCTGTTAACCTCTTGCCGTCCGCCTGCTGTTTATAAACGGCAGGGCGGTGGCAGTCCAGGGGCGGGTTGCCGTTCCTAAACGGCACCCGCCTTTTCTAGCTGTGCGCGCTCCCTAGGAGCGCGCTCCCTCCTCCGGACACAGTGAAACACCGATCGTCGGACGGGACCTCTGTACGAGGTCCCGGTCATGTGATCACTGATTGGCGAATCAGTGATCACATGCAAAGTAGTAAGCAAGATGTCACTTGTGACATCATTGCTTACTACGTGTGAAATCTGTGAATGATCACAGAGGTCACATGGTACAAGGCTATTCACAACACCCTTGTACCATGTGACAAGCTGTGACCAATCACAGCTCACTCAGTATTTCTCAATGACTGCAAGAATGCAGACAGAGAGAAAGAGAAATGATTGCTTTTACATCCTATATGGGTGTAAAAGCAATCAGTGTAAAAAAAAAAAAAAAATCTTCATCACCCCCCACAAGTAGTACAGTGTCACCATGGTGACACTGTACTGCTAGGGTGACAGTATGTAAAAAAAAAATAAAAATAAAAAAAATAATATAAAAAAAAATAAAATAAAAATCTAAAAAAAAATGTTTAAAAATTATAATTTTTGGTTATAAACTAATTTGGATTTTTTTTTTTTACTAACAAAATAACGGAATAAATTTTGGCCAAGATTTAAGATGAAATATTATTTATTTGCAAAATTTTATTTAAAAAAACACTTTTTTTCAAAATTTTTGGACATTTTCATTTACATAGTAAAAAAAATAAAAATCCCAGCGGTGAATAAATACCACCAAAATAAAGCTTTATCTGTCTCAAAAAAAATGGTAAAAAATTCATATGGGTACAGTATTGCATGACCGCGCAATTGTCAGTCAAAGTGTGATAGCGCTGAAAGCTGAAAATTGCCCTGGACAGGAAGGGGGTAAAAGTGTCCGGACAGGAAGTGGTTAAATGTTACCTCACCTTTCGAGTTGCTCCAGTTATGCAGGCCATAGATGGGGAGAAAAACGGCAGATTTTTCTTTTAAAAAATGAAAATTCGGTCATTCAAGCGGCCGACGTTGCCATCAATGGTAAAAAAAAAAAAATCGGCCGATTTTCATCCCTTCATACAGCCAGCAAAAAGTGTCCCTGAAGAGAGCTCTGCTATTTCTGACAGTTCCTTGACATTTACAGCGGTTGAAACATTGTATCTATTTATTTCCATTTAGGATACAGATGTTTTTATTCGGAAACAAATAGATACAATGTTTCAACCGCTGTAAATGTCAAGGAACTGTCAGAGAACTGTCAGAAATAGCAGAGCTCTCTGCAGAGACACTTTTTGATGGACTGGAATTATTCTTATTTTCATCCTACTTCTTCTTCTTCTTCTTCTTCTTCATCCTCTTCTTCTTCTTCTTCTTCATCCTCATCCTCTTCTTCATCCTCATCCTCTTCTTCATCCTCATCCTCTTCTTCATCCTCATCCTCTTCTTCATCCTCATCCTCTTCTTCTTCATCATCCTCTTCTTCTTCATCATCCTCATCCTCTTCATCATCATCTTCTTCATCCTCATCTTCTTCTTCTTAATCATCCTCATCCTCTTCTTCATCATCCTCCTCCTCCTCTTCTTCTTCATCCTCATCCTCTTCTTCATCATCATCATCCTTATCCTCTTCTTCTTCATCCTCATCCTCTTCTTCTTCATCCTCATCCTCTTCTTCTTCATCCTCATCCTCTTCTTCTTCATCCTCATCTTCTTCATCCTCATCCTCTTCTTCTTCTTTTTGTCTTCCTCTTGCAGGTCACTGCTCATGCGCAGTTTTTTTATCGGTAAAAAAATCGGCCGATTCGCTCACTAATTGCCGCGAAAATCGGCCGATCGGCAAAACCGGCCGATATTTTTCCAACTTTACCGGAAAAAAAAAAAAAACGGCCAAAATACCGAAAAACGGCCGACCAAATCGCCCACTAACGATCCGAAAATCGGGATTTTATTTTCGGCCGAAAAATCGGCCGATTTTCGACCCATCTATGGCCTGCATTACTCTATCTGGAGATTACACAATACTTAGGACTCTTTCCACCTCCCACCTGTGACAGCACTGCTGCCCAGCAACTGCAGTTCACATTGATGGTGAGGAAGCAAAGGCCGTTATATAAAGGGGTAATGAGGGAGGGAAATATTTAACCCCTTCATGCCTAAGGGTAAAACAAATCTAAATGCCTAAGCAAAATTTTGCAACGTTGACATGTGTTAGTAAAACTGTATATATCATCACAACTACTTTGCACATCCAGGTGAATTATACCTGTTTTTTTTTTCAGGACAAATTGGGCTTTCATTTGGTGGTAAGTGGTAAAGGATATCTCCTGATTTTTTTTTTTATCAAAGGAAAACTGGCCCAAAGTAGAAAAAAAAAAAATCATTTTTTTTATTTAGCTGTGTGTTTCTTGTTACTACCATAACCGACCACCAAAGAACAACCCAAAATCAATTCTCCAGCTCTTGACGATCACAGTGATACCATATATGTGTATGTTATTTGTTTTTTGTACCCGTAGTACAGCCCAGAAACAATAGTGCGCATTTTGCTTTTGTCTTCTTTTTTTTTTCCCTAAAATACACTGATATTGACACTAACCGATACCAATTTGTTTTTAAATCCTGTCTTTGACCCTGACCTTCTGACCCAAACACTAACCCTGGCACTGAACTAGATCAGACCTTGATCTAGGAATTTTTTCTTTCATTTTTTAATATTTATTTATCTTTTTTTTTTTTACAAACATTTTTTTTCCCTCTATGCCAGGAGTTAGAGATTTACAATATTACTCTCTCCTCCATTCATACAGAGAGAAAAAAACAAGGGGGCCGGGCTGTACAGTGACTGTGATAGCCACTCAGAGGCTATCACAGCGATCATGTGACCCGGAATCGTGAGTCCCGATCCCCGATAGTTAGAACAGGATCCCGATGCTCTCAGTGACACCATGGTCTTTGTGCTGGTGCACAAAGACAGGTACGCAATGTTATCCTTATAACCATAATGAACCCAGTCTGTGCTGGCAGATCCTTGCCTGGTTAAGGACTGTCTGTCCTAACAAGGGCAGACATTCCCAAGGCTTGGGTAGAACATCATATGTTAATGCACAGTTAACCTCCAGAGGATTTTACCCCTTTCATGACCAGGGCATTTTTTTTTTTCCATTCAGCACTACGCTATGTAATTGCTTGATCATGCGTAACAGTACCCCAAATGAAATTTATATCATTTGGAGCTTTCTTTTGGTGATATTTGATCACCACTGTTTTTTTTTATTATATAAACAATAATTCAAAAACCAAAACTATATTTTCTACTTTCTGTTGTAAAACATATAAAATTAAAAAAAAAAATCAAATTTCTTAATTTAGGTGAAAATGTATTCTGCTACATGTCTTTGGCAAAAAAAAAAAATCCCAATAAATGTAAATTCATTGGTTTGTGAAAAAGTTATAGTGTCTACAAACTATGGTATAGGTATATAATGGAATTTATGCATCGGTGATGCTATACTGGTAATTGCAGTGATCAGTGACTTATTGTGGGACTGTGATAATGTGGAAGGCAATCTGACACTAACAGACCCTCGCTGGGAGGTACACTGACTGACACTCACACCAATAGTGACACTAATACAGAGATCAGACATAATACTGTACTAATGACACTAGCTGTGAACGTTAAGAGGAAATCCAAGGGCTAAAGTGATACTAAACACACACTGTTTAATTTAGATTGTCCCTTCTTTTTCTGTATATGGATGATGGCACTGTAATTTAAAAAAAAAAAAAAAAATACATAAGTACCTATTTAATCAATATCAGGCTCTTATCCAGCCTGTCTGCAGGGAAACATAAGCAGGAGGAGCTTCTTGTCCTCTGCTGCTGGTCACGTTTTCAAAAAAATAATAATAATTAAAAAACAAACAGCCTGTTATACAGTGTAAAAATAAATCTTTAATATCAATAAACTGTTCTGAATATAAAATCACTAAAAATAAATAAATTGAAAGACACATACCTCTGCAACTTCATGCTGGAAAGTCAATGTCATTTGTGTTCTACCATAATAAAATGGCCCAGTTCTCTCTGAAATTGCTTCAAACCACTTGATAATCAAAGGTGTTGAGACATTAAATGGGAGATTACCAATAATATGTACCTTTGGTGGATCTGTAAGTATGAAACAAATGTATATTAATTGTTTTTAGTTCAAGTGTATCTAAACTCAAGAACAAACATCTACCACGAGGGTCAGCACCCCGTAGATCGTGGTCTGGGCTTGCTGACCCGCTATCCCAAAGCATCAAACAGACTGCAATGCAGAGGGACTACTTGTAAATTTGGAGTTGTAGTAGCGCTGCATAAGCCGATATCTCCTCTGTAGTGCTGGCTCCTGTCTCATGAAGAATGATACCAACTGCACTCCACTCCTTATCCCAGCTAGCGGTCTCAAGAGTGGTGCCAGTAGCAGGAAAGGAAAGATCCTCAGGTCACTGTGAAGCAATACACTGGGCATATCTTTCAATACAGCAATACACTGGGCATATCTTTCACACAGATGTGCAGCGGTTTACCCACATTGTGGGTGCAGTGCAGTGTATCTGCAGCCTTCCTGTGGGTTTGATGTGCTTAGCCATAGGCTTCTATTATATCCTGCAGGTTTGGTGCACTTTCTGAAAGCGCACCAAAAAGAATAAGTATTCAGATCCTTTGCAACAATACTCCTGACCGTTGCTGAGATATTTCTCCACCTTGATTGCAGTCCATTTGTGGTAAATTACATTGATTGGACATGATTTGGAAAGGAACACACCTCTCTATAAAAAGGTGTCTCAGCTGATAATGCATACTGTATCAGAACAAAAGCCATGAGGTAAAAGGAACTGCCTGCAGCGCTCAGAGAATTACTGCAAGACACAGATCTGGGGAAGGCTACAAAAATTTCTGCTGCACTGAAGGTTCCCAAGAGCACAGTGGTCTTAACCTCCCTGGCGGTATGATCATGTCAGGAATTTTGTGCTGAAAGCGGTACCATTTTTTTGCATGGAAATATGTAGTTTTTAATTGTAGGCTGTAATTTTTAGGAATAACTCACTGAAATCTATCCGAAAAAGAGTCTATTAAACATTCCGGATATGATAAAACTTGAAACACGAAATCATAAATTATAATTTAATAAATAATCATAAAAAATAATAATATAATAATAATAAATTTAATTCAATAATATAATCAAACCAAAAACACTGAAATTTGAAATACAGAGGCAAATTCGCACATCGCTGAGCAAAGTCGCAAAATCGTTTTCAGTGTCTGATGACGAATTTCCCCACAAATCATTATCACTCAATTCTGCAAGTGGTTTGATTTACTATCGCTGTTCTAAAACCGCTTTTGATGTAAAAGGGACGCTTTTTGGCCGCCATGGACTTTTCTAAGTTTCCAGGCAGAAAGAACAGTCAAAATGCAGGCAGGGCACAGGACAAAGCAGTGGGGACACAATGTATGTGAAATGCAGTGAAAAAGCAATGACAGCAAAAATGTCATTTTTTAAAAATTTCAAATTTCCCGCCGGTTCCGCCGCCCGAACGTTCCGACGTCACGGGGACCGGAACATGGAAGTCAGATGCCGGCATCCGCCGGAGGAGATGGACGGGGACGCTGCAGGGGACACATCGTGGGAGCGAAGGACAAGGTAAGTGCTGCAGGGACCCCCAGAGAACGCTGCATAGTAAGCCCGAGTGTAGCTCGGGGTTACCGTTCTTGGTACAGAATTTCTACCCCGAGCTACACTCGGGAAAAAACCGCCAAGGAGGTTAATAATTGTCAAATGGAAGAAGTTTGGCACAACCAGGGCTCTTCCAAGAGCTGGTAGCCCGGCCAAACCGAGAAATTGGGGAGAGAAGGGCCTTAGTAAGAGAGGTGACCAAGAATTCGATGGTAGTCTCTCCTCAGTGCAAAACACATGAAAGCCCGCTTGGAGTGTGCAAAAGCTTTTTAACCTCCCTGGCGGTATTCCCGAGTGTAGCTCGGGGTAAAGTTTCAGTACCACAAGCGGTAACTCCGAGCTACACTCGGGCTTACCATGCGGCGCTGCTCCGCGATCCCTCAATCACTTACCTTGTCCTGCGCTCCTGTGATGTCCCTCCTGCAGTGTCCCTGGCAATGTAATCCGGCGGATGCCAGCATCTGCCATCTGGGTCCGTCCCCTGCGAGCGTCGGGACGTACGGGGGACGGAACGGTGGGAAATTTGAAAATGACAAAAAGTGATATTCACTAAAATCACATAGTAAAACATGACTGTATCAAACCATTTCACATAGATTTTGTCCCTAGTGCTTTGTCCTGTGCCTTGCCTGCATTTTTACTGTTCTTTCTGCCTGGAAACTGAGAAACGTCCATGGTGTCCAAAAAGCGTCCCTTTAGGTCAGGCATGTCCAAAGTCCGGGCCCGCGGGCCATTTACGGCCCGAGGGTCGGTTTAATACGGCCCTCCATGTCAGTCAGTGTGTCTTATGGAGCGAATATGGAGCGGCCGGTCCGGTATTTCCACCGCGGCCGTGTCAGAATACCGGGCCGGCCGCTCAGCTCTGCAGCGGGACCTTACCTGTTCCTCTATCCAGCGGTGCGCTGTCTTCCCGGCTTCTGTAGTGTGGGCGCTGGGCATGACAGCCGGGTGCCAAGTGCGCATGCGCAAGAAGCGGTGCTTTTTGTGAATGGTAAGGCGGTACCTGGGACACATGACAGATCCCAGAAGCCACCGGACCAATCACAAAGCGCAAGTGCTTCTCGCTCATGCGCACTGGGCACCCGGCTGTCATGCCGAGCGCCATTACAGAAGCCGGGAAGACGGCGCGCGGCTGGATCGAGGAACAGGTAAGATCAAAGAACAACTGCGGAAGTAAGAGCGGGTACCTGTCAAATTCAGGTACCCGCTCCCCACCTCCCCAAAGGTCAGCAGTCATCTGTACTGTCCGCAGTCTCTGGTCATCCCTGTGCTGTCCGCAGTCTCTGGTCATCCCTGTGCTGTCCGCAGTCTCTGGTCATCTCCTGTACTGTGTGTCCGCAGTCTCTGCAGTCCATTAGTTCAGAATTTTTTTTTTTTCCTGTTTTCTGCCTCTAAAACCTAGGTGCGTCTTATGGTCAGGTGCGTCTTATACGGCGAAAAATACGGTAACTTGGCATAAAATAATTTATTTGCATTTAATTGTAATGGTTCAAAGAATGTTTGGAAAAATGTTCGGCCCTCCACCATGTTCACTTCATCCAATCTGGCCCTCTTTGAAAAAAGTTTGGACACCCCTGCTTTAGGTCAAAAGCAGTTTTAGACCAGCTAGAGAACAGCGATAGTAAATCAGAACCACTTGCAGAATTGAGTGATAATGATTCGTGGGGAAAATCGTCAGACACTGAAAACGATGTTGCGACTTTGCTCAGTGATGTGTGAACTTGGCGCTGTATTTCAAATTTCAGTGTTTTTGGTTTGATTATATTATTGAATAAAATTTATTATTTTTTATGATTATTTATTAAATTATAATTTATGATTTTGTGTTTCAAGCTTTATCCTACCAGGGATGTTTAATAGACTCTTGTTCGGACAGATTTCAGTGAGTTATTCCTAAAAATTACAGGCCTACAATAAAAAAAATACATATTTCCATGCAAAAAAATGTACCGCGTTGAGCACAGAAATATGGACATAATCAGACCGCTAGGGAGGTTAAAGAACTTTGTCCCATCTCCACACAGGATCTCTAAGTCAGAGTGACCATCGAGTTCTTGGTCACCGCTCTTTACTAATGCAGTTCTCCCCCAACTGCTTAGTTTGGCTGGGTGATCAGCTCCTGTCATTGACCTGGAAACACAAAGACTGACTTAATAAAGCTGGCATGTGTCCTACAGATTCATGTGGAGTGTAAATTTTAGTGATAGGTCCAATTCAATTCACCAGCAGCTACTAAAAAAAAAAAAAAAAAAAAAAAAAAATGTACTATACACACATTTACTAACTTACCATCTTCCCATTCCTTCTTTAAATTCTTTGGAAATGATCTGTCCATTCTGTATGTAAGTATATCACCATGAACAATTCTCATTTTCCCAAGAGATGCTTCATTTAACATCTTTAAAAGAAAGAAGTGGAATTTCAGGCCACAAAAGTAAAAGTAAATCTTTAGAATAATTGCAATAATACACATTTTGGATAGAATTGGAAATATATATATATATATATATATATATATAATTTCTTTTTTTCTTTTTCCTTAGAAGAGCAGCAGAACAATATAATCAGCTTTTATTGCGGTATGTCCATTTTTGCAGATTTACCTTCACTTCCTTTACTTCCTGGTAAAAACCAATGTCACCGGGACAGAAAGCTAGTTACATAGTTGGTAAGGTTGAATAAAGTCACCAGTCCATCCAGTACAACATGCATAGGTGTATGTGTTAGTGCGTTTATATCAATACTATTTCCCATATCCCTGTATGTTGCATCCGCTAAGTTGCCCATCTGAGGCCTCATTCACACCATACGTGCAGAAAAACTGATGGAAAAAGACACACATCAGTTTAAATCAGTTTTCATGCGCACTTCAATGAGTTTTATACATTGCAGATTCCTGTGCAGAAAACAATCTGCACGTGATACTAGTGTTGTGGTGTGAACAGGGCACACAGAGAACAAGTGATTTTGTTGTGCCCTTGCAGAATGCATGCAGAAAAACTGACATCTCTGTACAATGGTGTAAACGAGCCCTAAGTTTTTTTAAACTTTTGACACTTCCTGTTGACACCCACCAGCTTTGTATCATCTGAAAACACTAAGATAAACCTATTTAACACAGCTTTTATATCATTTACGAATGAATTAAAAAGAACTGATCCCAGGACACCTGGATACCCCAATAACTGCTCCAGAACACTCTGAGAACATGCTATTTATCACCACCCTTTGGATGAGCTACTGTAACCAGTTTTCTATCCAGGTACATACCCTATGGTCTAAGCCAGGCTGCCACAGCCTCACCATTCCGCTGTATCTGTGTACCTGTGCTTTCTTTTCCACAACCTCTGTCCAGACCCACCAGCACCCCCCCCCCTCCTCCACCCCGCTGCAAAGTCGACACTGTCATCTGCACAGCGGGGCATTTTAGGGGAGTGTCGGCCCGGACAGAGGGCGGGAGTGGCCCCACTCAAGTTAACCAGCAGTGGTTGGGCTCTATGACACAGGGCGGTCCCAACAACCAATCACCCACTAGCCATCTGGAAAAGCTGGAAAGCTCCCACCCTCCTCCCAGACCTGATGCATCTCCCACTCCCTGCACTGCTGTGTAAGGTTGGACTGGGTGCAGAGTAAAGGGGAACACTGTTTTCTAAAGGTAGGGCTGTACTCTAAAGTCAGGGACTGTGATGTAAATAGGTGGGCTGTAATGTAAAAAGATACTGCAATATAAAAGGGGTAGTCATGTAAAGGGGTAGCTTGATATGTAAAGGGGGGCTGTATTGTAAAAAGTGTGTGTTGTGATGTAAAGGGGGGGGGCTGTGATGTATATGGAGGGACTGTGATGCAAAGCAGAGTTGTAATATAAAAGGTGGGCATTGTAATGTAATGAAGTTGTAATTTAAAGGGGTGCTGCAAAGTAAAAAGGTGACACTGATGCAAAAAGGGGGTGCTGTAACGCAAAGGAAGACATCATTTAAAGGGGGCTGCGATGTAAAGGAGGGCTGTAAATGGGGGTTGTATTGTAAAAGGGGGACTGTAATGTAACAAGGAACACTATTATGTAAAGGAAAAACTGTGATGTAAGGTGGAGCACTGCGATTAAAACGGAGGGGGGGGGGGGGGGGGGGGGGGGGGGGGGGGAGGGGGAATGGGGGGGGGGGGGGCTGGGGGGGGGGGGGTCCACATTCATATCTACCCCTCAGGGGGTGGGTTCCAGGGGTTTCTACTGTGATGTGAATGGGTGGCTGTGATGCAAAGGGGTGTATGTATGATGTAAAAGGGGAGACTGCAATATAAAAAGGTGAGGACTGTGATGTAAAGGGGGATGCATTGTAAACGGGACTATAACATAAATGAGGTAAAGGGGGGATTGTGATATAAATATAGATCGCTATGAATTACAGTGAATTACAGGGGGGTTATGATGTAAAAGGGGGCTGTTTATGTGAAGGGGAGAACTGATCACACTGATGTAAAGAGGGGATTTGATGTGAATGGGGAACAAGGATACTGATGTAGGGGGGTTGTGACGTGAAGGATCTGAGTCACAGAACAAATATGAGATTAGGACCTCTGCTGGAAGAAATATTTACTGATCAGACCTCCATAAATTTGAATTCACTACCCCTGGTCTAAGCCAACAGAATTCAGTGTGTGAAATAAGCGTTTGTGGAGGACTGTATCGAATACTTTCACAAAATCCAGATACACACCACATCCACAGGCCTTCCCTTATCTAAATGGCAGCTCACTTCCACGTAGAATGTTAGCAGATTAGTCTGGCAAGAACAATCTTTCAAAAAATGCATGCTGATTGCTACTACTGATACTGTTTTCATGTGTGCAAATTCATGGATATAGTCTCTTACCACCACCCCCTCAAAAGTTTACAAACGCAAGGGGAAATGTCTCTAATAGAGCCTTAAATAGCAGTAAAAACAGAACAGTTCTAATCTTCCTTCAATCTACTCAAAACAAGAAAAAGTTTTGACTGGACCATTTAATTTCTAATAATAAGAGTCTAAGTGCCTTTTAATCGATGCCTATGCCAAGAATACAAGCTCGACTTTTAACTGAAGCCAAAAAAGAAATGTAGTATTCCTTATAAAAAATTTTGCTTTCTATTGCTAGTTTTGGTCTTTGTTCTACATTATAAATACTTAGAGCCAGTTCACACCAGAATATGGTACAGGAATTGCATGGGTTCAAACCCGCATTCTCCTTTGTGATCCTGGTGTGAACCAGCCCTGAATTATCTGCCCTACATCTGACATGTAATGTCTTAGGGCTGCTAAACTTGAAATATGACCATGTGCATACAACATATACTTCAATGATGACCTGATAATAAACTAGGACATGTCTTGGCTTATATTTTGTAGCCTTGTGAGCTGTGGTCTAATTGGTTGGTATGGTGCACACCTTGTTTTTTTAACTTTTCAGAGTTTATGACATACCCACTCATGGGGCCACTTAAAAAAACTAAACCTTATACCAGCTTTTGCTTTACTGTTTTAATCACACAATAAATTGCTGTACGCTGCCCCAAGTTCTATGGGACTCACTTTTATCTCCAGAGTTACAAGTGTAAAAACTGAAAAGGCAAGAGGTACATTATATTCGTAATACAAAGAATGGTAGGGAGGACTGGGGGATCAGATTGATGGTAGCTAGATGTACACTTTCCCTAGCTCCATGGCAGCATATGAATGGGTAGACTGCTCTCCGCTCTAACCTGCCATAAATTTTGAGGCTGATTCAGTCTACCTATTCCTTTTTTTTTTCCCTCAACTTGTAGGACAAAACAAGATGTGCAAGCCGCCCCCCTTACCTGGCTGCAATAAACTTGTGGCCGGCCACCTGTTACTCCCCAGGTGCAAACCATGCTTTATGGAGCATTAAAAAGGCTCTTTGCATGGGTGTTGTTTCTGGCATTGGGAATTGTTGCCTTGCTAAATGCAGCTTTCTGGTATGTAGATTCTGCTTGATTTTTATGTCCTTTTATTTGCCTCTGCGCATGAAGGCTCTGCATCTGTTTTTCCCTCAGTGATGCTTTCCTAGATAGAATGGAGCCCTTTATGGTGGCTGGGGCACTTTTTTCAGTTCCACAGCGGCTTAGGGTGGAATAAAGTCACCTGCCTGCATACATGCAGGCTACTTGAAGTGTAACACCACTTTTGTTTAAAAAAAAAAAAAAAATTGTAATTATGATGTTGACAATTACCTTAGGGCTTAAAATGTTGAGTCTAGACTACTAGCCAGGCACAAAACCTTATTCTCCACCAGATGCCCCACTCAACCTTGCCCAGGTCCGCCTCCAACCCCACCCCCGGCCTGTCCCTCAACCCCACCCCTGCCCCCAACCACGCCCCCTTAAAGCTTATGAAATTAATTTTTCTTTAGAATAAAAAGAGTCCAAAATATAAAAAAACTGCAATTATAACATAGCTTTATTATGTTAATTTAAACATAATAGCAATAGGGTGCAATCAAAATATCAGGTTTTACAGCTTTAAACCTGTAGTAAACATTTTGTATTTTTTTTGTTTATCTCCGGCATCTTTAAAAAGAGACTTTAGTAACTAAAGTCTCTTTTAAAAGATGTAAGCTTAGTTTACAGAATTACATATAATACTATGTTTCTTTTATATCCTTGTATATAATTATATATTAGGTATGATATTATGTCTCTTTTTATATATTAGATAAATATATAATATTATGTTTCTTTTATATCCTTGTATATAATTATTATATACTAGGTATATTATGATGTCTCTTTTATATATAATTATATATAAAAGAGACATCATAATATGTCTCGTGTCCCCCGCGGCGGGGGAGAGCGGCCCTCTCCTCAAGTCCCCCCGTGGCGATAAAGAGTGGGTGTCTCCTCCCAGCAGACCTCTCCTGCACCTGTCCCCTCAGTGGCGCTGCCAGTGTAATGGCAGTGCCAAAGAAGAAGCCGGAAGTTGGAAACCGGAACTCGGCTTCACAATGAGGTTTGGAGTGCAGGTGGAGCCGCTCCATCTGTGCTCGCCACACAAGGATTTCCCCTTGCATTTGGCGAGCGGCTTTTTCAAGCCCTCACTTAGGTGATGCTCACACATGTAGAAAAAATTATTGTAAATTTGTTTGAGGATTCCTACCTTTTTGTTTCTGTTCTAAACAGAACATTTTTTCATGTCCAGTTTTCTGTATGGCAGGGTCTGGTCCATTAGCCACCTGGTCAAATCTCAGTGCTCTGGCCTGGGAAGCTGCAGTATCAGCCTTCCCTGAGCAGTAGTTAACACTTTAGGGCAAGGTGATCGTAGCAGAAGTAGAAACAGGTACCTATCAAAATCAGGTACCCCCCCCCTGCCCAAAGGTGCCAATCCTTAACGGGAAGCAGGGGAAGAA